CCCTGGCTCCCTGAAGCAGGGGCCTCCCTGAACGGGGCTGGGATGGCACCTTGGGTCTGGCGGTTGGCCAGTCCCTTTCCTACCCTCAGACCTTCCAGATGAGGGCCTGGAGCGGTGCGCTCCTAGGTGAGCACCTGGTGCTGATGGTGCTGGTGTGCATGGGCAGCTCTGGATGGTAGTTTGGGAATATGTGGGGTATTTTATGAGAATTTGTTCTTGTGCTTAGAGAGTCATAAATTTCCTCATTCTGAAAGGGTTAAATACTGGTACCTTGGGTGCTTCCTGAAGCGTCCCTTGGCTGTCTTTGATTGTGTACACCCTGGTAGTTCTGAAGGCATGTTGAAGGTAAGGCGATTCCTAAAAGGCTCAGGTTTGGGGTTGCGGTTGTTTGTATGGCAGGCGTTACCACCCTGCTGCAGGGACCCCAGCACCGCCTCTTGACTTAGCTTCTGTGCTGCGCATCTGGAGGGTGGCCTGTGTCCCTCCCCAGCAAAGTCCCTTGTCGCATGTGAATTTTCCTAGAGAGGGGCCCGCAGTTTTGAACACAAGACTGCAGAAGTAGAAGCTGTTCAGAAAGAAAGGGAATGCTGGGGGGGGGGGCGGGCGGGCATCTTGCTATTTGAATTTTTTGTTTTATTTATATTAGCTCTGACTTCTTCAAGGTCCTCACTCACCCAGATTCTCCGGGGATTTGGTCATCTCCAAGTATCTTCTTCTTCTTCTTCTTCTTTTTTTTTTTTGTCTTTGTTTATTTTCAAAAAAATTTTAGCTTCTCTTTGACAATCTTGTTCATTGGCACAATGAAGCAATGAATTTCTCACCAGAGATGTGTTTATTAATGTTACATTTTAGGAAGGGCACGTGACTGAGGAAGGTTGGCCACACATCTTCCTGTGCAGCCTTACCTTTGAAATAAAGAGTGCTGTTTGTGGCTGCATTTTATTTTCCTGTGAATTTAATTAGAGGAGACTGGAGGGGCAGCTGACTTCATCATCATTCATAGCCACTTGGTGATGATGATGATGATGATTAATATTATTATTTTATGGTGCCTGAGATTGAATTCAGGGCCACTTGACCACTGAGCCACATCCCCAGCCCTATTTTGTATTTTATTGAGAGGCAGGGTCTCAATGAGTTGCTTAGCACGTCTCCATTGCTGAGGCTGGCTTTGAACTCGCCATCCTCCTGTCTCAACCTCTCCAGCCTCCTCCTGTCTCGGCCTCCCCAGCCGCTGGGAGTATAGGTGTGAGCCACCGTGCCCAGCTTTAATTATTTTTTTATGGTGCGTTGAGCTGTGCACCAGGCACAGTGCTGAGCACCTTACATATGTGATCTTACTCAGCTTTCCACAACAACCTCTTGAGGTAGACACTTTTTTATATGCCCTTTAGAGAGAGAGAGGTCAATGTTCCCCTGGTCACACAGACCACTGGAGCAGAATTTACACCTGGGTTTTCCTCGAGCTCACAGCCCTCATTTTTGGACCCTGTGCAAATCCAGTGGGCTCTGAAAGCATTTTACAGGCACTGATTTAACTGAGCTGGTGTCTATGGGACACTGGGCTGAGTGGTTCTTAAAGGGCCAGCCAGCCCGATCCCTGATTCTAAGTAGGCTGTGTGTGCAGAGCCAGCTGCCCTTGAAGCCAGCGTCTTGTGAGTGGCTTCCTGTCCTCTTCCTCCACCAATTGCAGTTTCTGATTCTTAGGCATTTTTTAGATGGTGCTCACGGCTCCCACAGACTGGGCATTGCAGAGGATGCAACCTTCTAGAAGACACAGTAGTCCTTCCTGAGGAGACAGTTTTAGTGGGGCTCTGAAAGATGCATATCCAGCCCCTGCCATGGGCACAATATGATAAGAAAAGGAAGAACTGTGGGGTCTGAGACTAGAGAGACACAGGCATTTGCAAGATGAAAATCCTCTCATCATAAAAGCCATCCGGTTAGCTGGGTGGAGCACCAGATAGACCCTGGCCTTGGCAGAAATGACCGCAGAGTTCTCTGTTCTTGGTTGGGAAGCAGTTGTGGTTATGCTGTGGAGGGGCACCATGCCCTAATAGGATACTTATTATTATCATCTCCCAGAGCCAGGAGCACCTGGTCCCCTGGTCCCCCGTGCACTCCTGCTCCATCACCATGCTCTAGAGTTTTGAATGCACAGTAAAAAACTAGTTGGCTAGGCTCTGGTCTCCGAACCACACAGGGGCGCTGGCAGCCATCCCAGAGCTCAGACTGGGTTAAAATTGCTTTCGTACATGTATTTAAGAGGAAGGGGGAGACTTAAATTTTAAATCTCTACACCCACTTCTCTGTTGCCAAAAAATGTGGTCTTCATCTGTTTCTGTGCGAGTGGAGAAAGAGTCCCCCCCCCACTCCCCATCGGTCCTGTTTGAAAGGTGGCTTGGGACTCGTGCTTCTGAACCGCAGACAGAGCCATGTCGCCAGGCCGCTCCTCCCTAACAGTGACAGTAATAACCAGCCCCCATAATTCATAGCCTGGCCCGTGCTAGGTCCTGTGCCAGCGCCCCTGTGGGTTCTCGAGAACTGGGGCTTGGTTCATGATTAGAACTCGCACCCCAAACCCGCTCTGCTTGCCTGGTCCCTGTGGTTCTCTGGCTGGGGCTTCTCACCATGGCGCTCTGCAGCAGCCCAGGTGCCTGGTCCTGAGCCTAGAACTACGGGCCAGGTTCCCCCTTGAGATTGCCCAGCCTGGGGATCAGAATTCACAGAAGGCCTCCGAGAGTTGCCAGTGTCCATCAGCCTTGGCAGCTGCTGGCTTCCCTGCCCCCACCAGCCCCTCCTCCTCCAATTGCTTCCTTCCATGGTCCTACTTCCTGAGCAGCCCCCCACCCCCAAGGGGCAGCCTTCCCCCCTCGGTATGTGTGGTTCTGCTGGGGTCACTGTTTTTCTACACTTGCTTTCTTTCATGTCAGTAGTTGCCTATCTTTCCAACCAAACTGGGCACTTCTAGAAGACAGCCATAGTCATTTCCCTTTCCTTCTGGTGTCCATTCTCTACCATCTCTGTCTTCTGCCTGTCTGTCTGTTTCTCTCTCTCTCTCTTTTTTTTTTTAAAGTACTGGGGATTGAACACTAGGCCCCTGCAGAATTAAGCCACCTCCCCAGCTCCTTTTAATGTTTGAGACAGGGTCTCTCAAGTTGCCGGGCTGGCCTCAAACTTGTGATCCTCTTGCCTCAGCCTCCTGAGACCCTGGGATTGCAGCATATGCCAGTGCACCTGGCGATGTCTGTCTGTCTCTCTACTCCCTTCCCCTTCTCTTTTCCCAACACCCAGCACACTGTGGGGAGTCATCTGTTCATTCCTTCTCTAGTTGTTCTGAATGTAAATGTTTCCCCTCAAGGTCCCCTCAGTAGCTCCACAGGTACTGCCACTGGCCCAGGCACAGGGGCCCTTTGCCTGGTTGTTCACCACCTGGCCTTGACCTTCTAGCTCCTGACACTAAGGATATGTCTGTTCTCAAAAGCTCCCTCTGCTTTGATGGCTTTTAACTCGGTTATTTTAATTGCAAGATGGTAACCAGGTTTCTGCAAGCGACAACTAGCCCCTTTCTGCGGAATCCTGTGGTTTATAGGAATCGCCAAAGCAGGCTGTTTGGAGGTGTTCTTTTTCAGTAATTCTTTCTGGCTCATCTGGTGAGACATATGTCTTTCTGTGCACGCCCCCCCATGGTGCACTGTGGTGGAGTGTTTGTCCTTCCTGCATCCTGTGCCTTCCTCTCCCATATTTTAAAAAAAAAAAAAAAAAAAAGGACAAGAAGAAACCTGGTGAGAACAGACTGCTCCGTGGTCCCTGAGCTCAAGAGGCGCTAGTGGGCAGCATGGAACCTGACTCCTTTTCTTTTAATGCAGTTCCTTTTCCTTGATGTTAATGCAAGTTGCGCCTTCCTAAAAGTAATAAAAGGAAATGAAGACACGTTCTGAAATGAAACTTGACTCTAATCCATTCATCATCTAATACTAGCCTCTTTATCTTCGCTGGTACCTAATCTGGTTAAATGTCCCTGTTGTAGGATTTTAGTGAAAATCCTCTATTGGGAATAGGGTTTTTTGCAATTGGATTACTCTCAGTAAATGGCCCAGTAGTTCGCTTGTTTCAGCTTAATTTTTTCTTTGTGATCTTGCTGGGCTGAGTTATAGCGTAGCATAGAGGAGGGGAGTGGACTAGCGTGGGGTGGGGAAGAGGAGAGCCATCGGAGAGAGCTTCAGGATGCACCTAGAAACATACTTTAAATGCTTCTCTTTCTTTCTTTTTTTCCCCATTTCTCTCTTCTGACCCACCCTGCCCACACACAAAAATACTCGTACTTTGTTTGCAAGAGCCGGCTGCCCATTTCTAAAATGCCTACCTTTTATTAGCCCAATTCATCATCATCCAGTTAATTTATTAGTGGTCCCTGATGACTTCCTAATGAAACTCCTAATGAATCAGTGCTGCGTAATCTGCATAAAATATGCAGGTGCTTGCCGGGCAGTTAGAGCTTTCTGGTAAAGTTCACACTCCCACCCAGAGCCCAAGTGGGGATTTTCATCCCTGAGATCTGTAAAGGCTTGTAGAGTGCCCGCCTTCTGAAGGGCGGGGGGGAGGCAGATAGGGAGGCTCACCGGGTGCATTTGGGTCCTGGCAGTTTTCTTGTAGATGAAGGCTTTCCTTGCTGGTCCCTGCAAAGCCCTGCCTGCCTCACAGAGTCCTGTGGTGGGGGCCTGAGTGGGAGACTCCTCCCCCGTGGGTAGGAGCACAGTAGGGCTGGGAGATGACAGCCCCCGCTTTCGACCCACCTGCCGATGGGAAAAGTGCAGTCTCGGGCTCTGTGCTGGGTGGGGATGGAGAAGACATTTTAAATGCCAGGCTCAGTGGGGAACTGGGAAGTGGGGGACAGGCAGAGTTGAATGCATCTCACAAAATTGAGGTCTGGGGGCGTTGCAGGGCCCTGCTCTGAAGGCTTGGCTCGACGTGTCACTCTGCTCTCTCCCTCCCTGCAGTCGAACAAAGTGCCGGTGGTGCAGCACCCTCACCATGTCCACCCGCTCACGCCTCTTATCACCTATAGCAACGAACACTTCACCCCGGGAAACCCGCCGCCACACTTACCAGCTGACGTAGACCCCAAAACAGGTAGGCCACCGGCTGCGTGCCAGGGCAGAGCACCAGG